TTTGGATCAAGAACCGAAACTCACCCTGAGTGATATAGCTAATGAATATCAACGTCTCATTAATCTTCAACGAGACACTTCTATGGTCCAGAGTGGTGGTTCTAGCCGATTTGAAGTACGAGCGGTGCAACAGACACTTCACAAAAACAAACACGTCCCCGCTTCATCCAGTCCATCTCTAGACGACAGACTAAAGCAACTCCTCCTGCTCCTTGCTGGCAATGTGGTGCATGGCACTACGTTCGAAACTGCCCATTTAAACAACATCGATGCAAGAAGTGTAAGGTTATCGGTCATAAGGATGGGTTTTGTCTGAGGAAGAAGACTCCAAGTCAATCAAGAAATACTAACAAGCCCCGTCCTAGATCCCGCACCAGTTCATTGAGCTTAGTATCTTCGTGTCAAAGCTCATCACCAAGTCAGAGAAAATTTATTACTGTTAACATTAATGGGCATTCATCTAAATTGCAAATAGATACAGCATCAGATGTCACTATCCTCTCTCGTAAGACTTGGATCAAAATGGGCAGCCCAAACTTGCAGCATACAACGCAAAAGCCTCGTACTGCCTGTGGTAATTACCTTCACCTGCTAGGAAAAATGGAATGTACAGTTACCTTCCGTGATTTGGCATTTGTTGGGGTATGCTACATAACCCCAGCTGATCTAAATTTGCTCGGGTTAGATTGGTTTGATCACTTAAAATTAGCTGATGTCCCGTTGAATACCATATGCAACCTGGTATCACAACCACAACTGCGACAACAACCACATGACTTCGAATCATATACGAGCACCCTAATGACGCAGTTTTCAACTATTTTCCAACCTGGATTGGGTCGCTGCTCTGTCATGAAAGCAACACTTCGATTGAAAACTGGGGCTAAGCCTGTTTTTCGCCCAAAGAGACCTGTCCCTTATGCAACATTACAAACATTAGATGAAGAATTGAACCGCCTTCAACAACAAGGAGTTATCACTCCCGTTTCCTACTCTGCATGGGCAGCACCTATCGTGGTTATTAAGAAGGCCAACGGCACGATACGTATATGTGCTGACTTTTCAACAGGTCTCAATGCAGCTCTGGAACAACATCATTATCCCTTGCCTGTTCCCGCAGACCTATTTACCATGCTGAATGGGGGAAGATTTTTCGCTAAGCTGGATCTAGCTGATGCTTATTTGCAAGTGGAAGTAGACGAAGCATCAAGAGAGCTGTTAACTATCAATACTCATCGTGGTTTGTTCCAGTATAACCGTCTACCTTTTGGAGTCAAAACTGCACCATCTATTTTCCAACAATTAATGGATACCATCCTATCAGGTATCTCGGGAGTCACGGCTTATTTGGATGACATTTTAATTGTAACAACGACATTAGAACAACTACGAGAACGCACGACATTGGTACTGCAACGCATCAGTGACAACGGGTTCCGGTTACGCCCAGAGAAATGCCAGTTTTATTTGCAGTCGGTAAAATACTTGGGGTTCATTTTCGATGCCGACGGCCGCAGGCCGGATCCTGAGAATATCCGAGCTATCAAACTGATGCCCACTCCCACTAATGTCTCGGCACTACGTTCCTTCCTGGGACTTGTCAGCTATTACTCAGCGTTTGTTCCATCGATGCATGATATTCGCGCTCCACTCAATAGCTTACTGCAGAAGAACAGCTCTTGGAACTGGACAAAACAGTGTGACATTGCCTTTTGTAAACTGAAGTCCATTATTAGTTCTGAATTGCTGTTGACACACTACGATCCAGCCATGCCGATCATCGTAGCTGCAGACGCTTCAGCGAATGGCCTAGGCGCTGTTATCTCCCATCAGTTTCCGGATGCGTCGGAAAAAGCCATTATGCATGCAGCCCGTACACTAACCCCAGCAGAAAAAAAATACAGCCAGATAGAAAAAGAAGCGCTTGCACTTGTGTTTGCAGTACGCCGTTTCCACAAATTCTTGTACGGTCGAAGATTTACTCTTCTCACTGATCACAAGCCTCTTCTCACAATTTTCGGTTCGAAATCTGGTGTTCCAGCCCATTCTGCAAACCGTCTCCAACGATGGGCTTTGATACTTCTGGGTTATGATTTTGACATTCAGTATCGGCGCACTCAACAGTTTGGTCAGGCTGACGCCTTGTCACGACTTATCAGCGAACACCATACCGCCGGCGAAGATACAGTTATTGCCTCCCTGATGACCGAGGACTACGCGCAGTGCTACCTGACAACTGCTATTCGTGCCTTGCCAGTCTCAGCAGCTGAAATACAATCTGCATCCAAGAACGACTCCATCATAAAGAGAGCGATGAAATACGTCACAAATGGCTGGCCGCCGACTGGACTCGATGGTGACTTGAAAAAGCTTTACCACCGTCGGGACTCATTATGCGTCGTAAACGAATGCTTGATGTTTGGAGATAGAGTAGTGGTACCAGAATCCCTAAGATCAAAGGTGCTAAAGCAATTCCACACTGGTCATCCTGGTATAAAACGAATGAAATCCATCGCCAGAAGCTATGCTTATTGGCCCCTCATGGACCAACATATCGTGGATTTAGTAAGCAAGTGCACACAATGTCAGCAAGCAGCTAAGTGTAACGCGAAAATACTACCAGTCCCATGGCCACAGCCTGAGTATCCCTGGTCCAGGATACATGTCGATTTCGCAGGCCCAATTAATGGAATCACCTATCTAGTCGTTGTTGACGCTTTTTCGAAATGGCCAGAAATCGTTCCCGTCATGCCACCAACGACAACCCAAACGATGCAACTGTTGACAGAGATGTTCTCTCGCAATGGGTTACCGGATATAATCGTTTCCGACAACGGTTCGCAATTCACCTCAAGCCAATTTCAAGAATTTTGCAAACGCCTATCGATCAAGCATTTCCGCTCTCCACCTTACCACCCACAGTCAAATGGACAAGCAGAAAGATTTGTGGATACATTCAAGAGAGCTCTAATGAAGTCGAAAGGGGAGGAGACGCCAGTAGAAACACTGCAGAATTTCTTGTTTGTTTACCGAACAACACCTAGTGATATGCTACCACAGCAGAAGTCCCCGGCAGAGATCCTGATGGGAAGGAAATTGAGGACGATCCACAGTCTCATGTGCCCAAGAACCACACCACCACCATCTCAGACCAAATCTCAGAAGCTTCCAGCGTACGAGGTTGGATGCCCTGTGTTCGCTCGAGACTACAGAGCAAATCATGGTCCCTGGATCGAAGCGCGAGTGGTCAGAAGAGTTGGCCGAGTCATGTACGAAGTTGAGGTAGGTAGTGACAGGTGGCAACGCCATCGGAATCAGTTACGCAAACGGTTAGCCCCAGACCGCCCATCAACAGAATCAAATATTCCTCTTGACATCCTGCTAGACACATTCAACTTACCGGCAACCCCACCAAAAGAAAAACCTCAACAACAAGCTGAAACACGTCACAGACGGTGGCCTATAAGAGAACGGCGAGCAACAGTCAGGATGCAGGTTGACCCCAAGAAAGCCCGCTATTAAAAAGGGGAGGAGTGTTGGGGACGATAGATCCCCAAACTCATATTTTAAATTTTATCTTATCGATCAAATGTTAGATATTTTTATTGGGGTCAATTGATGAACTATCGATTAAATGCGCAAATAGGTCAATTAATGAACTCATTGATTAATGTTTAAAAATTTTCTATCGATTGTAAATAATTGTATAAATACGCTTGACTTGTATGCTTGATCTGATCTGCCTGCCTGACTTGTTATCTGCTGTTGCTTGTAGAATATACTTTCTACGCCTTACCAAGACTTCTTGATCGAGTTAGCTGAGTCGAAGACAACGGACCAGAATAGTCTATCGAGTCGCTGAATCATTGATCCTTCGTTCCGTTTCGAGTAAGACGCATCAGTAATCGCATTCAAGCAATAATGAAACATAACATATCTACTCAATATACTCAATGTCCGTTGACTAAATACTATCAGCAACGGTCTACGGTGAGACAGAACAAACCAGCTTCAATCTGAGCAGGAAATTAGGAAAAGACGATGGAAGTGGATAGGATATACATTGTGGAAATCATCAAACTGCATCACTAGGTGAGCGCTAACTTGGAATCCTGAAGGGAAATGGAAAAGAGGAATGCCAAGGAGCATAGTACATAGTACGTCAAGAATCGGAAGCAGACATGTATAGAATGAATATAATGTAGAACCAACTAGGAAAGAGAGCACAGGGTAGAGTCAAATGGAGAATGCTGTTGAGCGGCTTATACTCATCCATGAGGGGTAACAGGCATAAGTAAGTAAGTAAACAGTTCCAGCTGAAGTACGTTTTTACAGTATATATAACCATCACCCTCCTTTTCCAAATGTTTTTAGTTCTTTCACTTGCCTTACTAAACATTCTGATGTCAGATTATTGTTAATCGGACTTAATTACATAGACATGTACACTTATATGATGTATTACATAGTTTATGATTGATTGATCCACTCTAAATAACGATAATTCAAATGACGAAATGTAGTATGACTTAATTACAATATTATTAATAAACAGTTGGATTTTTATGAGGAATTTAAATATGACCTAAAATCATTTATCATCTCTCCATAATAACTCCCTTCCAAAAAAAGAAAAAAAAATAGGAAACCAATTGTTGATGACAGAAAATCCATTACCAAATTGTAAACAATAGTGTATCATAAAAATGTCAAGAAATAGAAGAAAACCAATCATCTCTTACATAATCAATGTGTTATATCAATTTCATTTACATATACATAAAGAGATTCGAATTATCTAAACGATATTCCCAAAATGAATCTCAGTATTCAAACACAAACAAACAACAGTAGGTAGTATATGATACACCAGTACACATATGTCAATTGAATGGATATACTTATCAGTGATAATAATTATTACTTCATAGTGTTCAGAAAAGAAATTCATCAATAGAAAAAAGAAACAATTTTTTTCTTCTGAACAACAATGCATCAAATCAATAGACGTGCAGATTTGAAGAGGTCCACTACAAGATGAAATACAAAAAACAAAAATTAAATAAATGAAATGAAAGAAATAATGAAAACAGTTCATGTAATGTAGTGAAATTAATCAAGAATAAAACATTGAATAGATTAATTTAGTCCGTCTATCTTGTAGGTAGATCATAAATTATATCTCTATTATATTGTAGATTGAAGAAGAGAGATTTCTTACTGAATTGTTCCTTGTCATTACAAGATCTATTCATTAGATGTAAGTACTTCTTCTTTCGAAAACCCCTGATGGATTACCAATTTCAATGAAAAATATTATGAATACATTCTAGTTCTTTATTTATGGTGTTTTTTGATGTGAGTAAGAGATCTCTCTTCCTAAAATTACAATTCAACGAAGATATTACTAGTGATGTACTACGAGATTAACTGACTAAAGAATAATCTAAATAAAACGGTACTTAAATGACAACCGCCAAAAAAATGATATTATAACAAATGGGCACCAATATATATAAAAATACATATACATATATGGACCACAGAAATCACTGAATGTGAACGGGTTGGGATACTGCATGTGTGTCTAAACAGAAACATGTGGTTTCACAGAGGGTTACTCCCCGACTCTTTTACATAGAGGCCAAATCTACAAGATGGTGGAGCAATCTTAGGAGTTGCAGTCACATGGTAGACAGTGACCATTTGTTCCCTCAGGATTCTGAAACCCTTTATGCCCTCTAAAATTACCACAACAGATTCATAGATTATTTTCAGTCAATAATAGTGTCAATCCGTTAATTGTCTAGAATATAATAAACATGACATGTGTTCATTCTTATCATCCTTATTACATAGCTATCGAACTCATTATTACAAACTATAACGATATGTATTGCAATGGCTGCTACGTTCGAAGATATCACTAAAAACTGGCGAACAGAACGCAAGTCAGTAACATAAACACAGGATAAACTAAACTATTCTACTGCGTCCCTCCAATGCGAACTAAAGGGAGAAGACTAGATTCAGAGAAGGGAAAAGTATATTCCGCAATCGGTCGGAAGCACGAAACAACGAGCACACAACTCATGCATATATATATATATATATATATATATAGCACAAACATGTTCTTGAAAAACGTCAAAAAATAGCGTACTAAAAGATAAATCTAATCAAACTAAACTATTAGAAGAATGAAAAGCTAGCAAAATAACTTATCAAATAACTCATTATAGTAATGATATAGAAAACATCCAAATAGTAAGACGTATTATTGGAGTGAACAAAATGTTTATTGCATTTGGCAATTAACTCATCAATGTGAATAATAATAATAATAATAATAATAATAATAATAATAATAATAATAATAATAATAATAATAATAATAATAATAATAATAACATCCACCTACTCAAATCTATTGAATGTTGGATAATAAAAACAATGATAAAAAGAAACAATGTCACATCTAAATGTCATAGATCCTGTGTACATCATTGTTTATTCCTCTCTTTGTATGTGTCTCACTATGTGTGTGCATGTGCGCGTGCGCGCATTTTATTACACAGGGCAACAATAATCAGAGTAGTTAGAATAAACTGTATTGAATAACTTACTAACTAACTAACTAACGAACTGGCTGCCAACTAATAATGAAAAATAGTGGGAAATAGTTGAATAAGATATAAGAAAAAAAGAGATATTATAAAACACAAACACACATATATGTGTATACAATGTGAACAAACAAACAAATACACACTGCAATTATGCGTAAACATGAATAATCTATGCATCTATTTACGTTGGGAGTTTTAGGAATAAATTAAGCATGGAAAAAAATTCATTCGATATAATAATAATAACCATTAGTATTATTATTCGATATTAAAAGATAACTGAATAGGCCAATGATATATATATATATATATATATATATATATATGACTTACCAGTTCTGTATCGATTGATTTCTCCCAACGCAATCTTTCCAATAGTTTATGAGCACATGTTCCACTACTCTTAGTTCGTTCAATAACTTGTTGATACGGTGAAACATTCTGTGTTCCCATTACAATAACACCCTATATACACAAATATATACAACAGTTTGTGATTTGTATTATAATTATATAATTTTATTAACTGTATTGAGATTAATGGTATGACATTAATAGGGAAAAATATAATTACAACATATTCACAAATATGAACTGTTGTATTGGGGATGCTAGTTCCCCAGAAATTACTTAGTAAACTTCTTATTTCTGTAACTTAATAATGGAAATTTAAGATTCTCAATTTCGCGCCAAAAATGCCTATTTTTACTTTCAGTTTGTGCTTCCCACCTGGAAGGACTGTCAACCTCATTGGTTAGATTTCTTTTAATATGCTATTTTCTGACGTTCTTCAAGAATATTTTTGTACTATATATATATACATATACATGAGTTGTGTGCTTGTTGTTCATTTTTTTCGGCTTGCTTATGGAATTATATATTTTCTCGACTGAATCTGATCTTATTCCTCTAGTTAGCAGATCAGAGGAGAAGTGCAATAGCTTAGCTTTTCCGTCGGCATGTTGCTGAATTGAGTTACGTTTGCCGGAGATAGCTTAATCCCTTGAACATAGCATGTTGTTAGAGACATAAATTGACGAACTGCGTAAATTTAATATACAAACAGAAACTGTACAGATCATACAACTGAATGTCACTAACATCTATAATTTCAGAACGAGGAGAATAAATAAGGAAACATCGAGTTTCCTTTAGCCATCAGTAAGTATATTTCTGACGTGAATTCAATTAACATTTAGTTTATATAGTTTTGTATAATTTCTTATTCATTGTGAGTTTTCATTTGATTCATTATCTGTTTTTATATGTTTCACTGTAGTAAATTAATTGTAATTCTTAGTTGGAACCGTTTATATTAAGTTATCCATCTGGGTTTTTTTTAGTGATCAATAATTATGTGATGTCCAGCATTTTCAGATATTTTTTAAGCTCATTTAGTGGGTAAATTGTTCTACGTAAGAGTGTAACTTTTACTGGAGAATTCGCTTTAAGTCTCAATCTTCATTTTGTTTGCATTTTCCATCTGACAAGTTGAGATGCGCTGCATTGAATTGTTCGTAGCGGACAAATGTAGATAACTTGAAGTGCTTGAAATAAAATCTCTAATGAAAAATACATTCTAATATACAACATTCACATACCAAATAAGCGAAAAAATGTCTGAAAATTCTGGATACTGCATGTTTACTAAACATTGGAAAATGGATGGTTAAGCTCATCCACTGTTGCGCCCCTATAACTCATGTATTTTTCAGTCAGACAATACATAAGGCACATCGATTGTCTTATTCTCGTGTTCTGATTATGGCTTTGAAAAAAGGGATTTCGAGCGCCTCGATAAGCGTTGGAATACCATCGAGTTGGGAGACCAGTATTATTGACTCAAGAACAGCAGATTCAAGATAATAGGCAACAGAAATATGAACATTTCTTGTTTAACTTACATTTCATAGTGTGGTAGTATAAAGTGTAACTTCACAGATGAATATTCTATAGTCTCTTAAATGTTACGTTCTTGTTATCTTCCCCAAATCAACTAGGTAGAGTGATATGTTTTACAGCTATAACCCAGTACTGTTGATCAACTCCATTCATCAGGATAAAGTTGAATGCTAAGTTTATATACACTTTCTCTATTTGCATTCTTTTGTTTGCCAATTCTCTTTTGTATATTATATTATGCTACTTACTAATATCCAGTAATCAGTTTCCATTCTAATAACTTTTGAGAGAATACCATTGTTTGTTGTTGAGTAGTATTTCTAGCTCTTTACGTAAACTAGTAACATTAAATTTATGTGTTATTATAATTGCATCTTTTTAATGCATGTAGCAATTACCCTTATTGTTATTATATTCGTTGAATAGTTGTTTTACTGTGACAGACTAAATTTTTGATGTTATTAGTTCTTATTTAGATCTTGTCTGCGTTGTAATTTCAACATAGCTATTAACTGTCGTTTACTTAACGCATATTGTTTTAAATAACTTTATAAATCCATTTTAGGAAGCATCCCTTTTTCAATTGTATAATGACACAGTAAATACCGTAGACATCATACGAATTGAGGTTTGTAATCCAATCCGTATATTTTCGTAAAAAATGGTATTTGCAGATAATCTTGTGTCTTTGACCACCGACGTTTACGTGTCACTTCATCGTGTGGTTGAAGGCTTTAACAATACTTAACATAGCATATTACAATATAAAGCAACGAAAAGGATCCTATTCTTCACCTAATACATAATTCCTAGATAACAGTAAATATTCAGTTAGAAAACGAATACTGCTTTACCTTTTGTGAATCTATCTTCGCATCCATACGAGCGTTGCGTATTAAATTTACAATCCATTTTTCCGCATCATCCACATCCATATTCAACTTTTCAGCAAGTACACTTAATGATAAAAAAGAAGCATGATCTTCAAAATAACTGTAAACCAATACATAACTAACAGGAATATAAAAGAATTCAATAAGCGCTTAGGACCAAACAATAAAATATTGGTTATTGCTTAGTGATGAATTATTCCGAAAATCTGTCCTACACACAAAATCAATTATAGTCTGAACAACTTATTGTTAACATCTTTAATTATAACAGTGAAAGGTACAAGTTTTAGTTCAATAGACACCATCAGATACTCCATGTTGACAAGTACTGACTAGTATGAAACCAAAATTGAGAGGCTCATTGACAAATAATGTATAATGAGGATTCTCATGCTACAGTTTTAAAACACTGTATCAATAGGTCAATTATTATTACTGAATTTGAAGTTTCTAAAAGGTAGTCATTAATTATTAAAAATTCATCCTACGTAATAAAATTGTCAAATTACAAAGAATAGAAAAGAATATAATTGAAATTTGTCGGGAAATTTCATAAAAATACAATTTTAAATAAAGTCAATTGAGACCTAAACAGCTCAGTAGTAATGTATTCGTTATGACTTTAAGTCCGGCTAGTTATCACGTGATTTATCCGCCAATCGAAATACGAATTATACAATCTTCACACTGTGCTAAACCAATGACGTTTGACCAGTATGAGCAGCCTAGCGTCCTTATTGGTCCTGTGTTCGCCTAGCCCATTCACTTGAGTCCAGAACACCGATACCAGCTTCCACTATGTGAATCATTTATTTCAGACGTACTGGGTTTATATATCAACCAAACAGACAGCAACGCAGCATAAAATAGGAAATAACATTTATACACAATAAAGCCAAAAAGTGGCTGTGAACGTGGGAGATGGTAGTTTATAAACTGAACATAATTTAGGAACAGTAAATCGTATAATAATGATTTATAGGTCAAAATGAAGCTTACGCTAAAATGAATATAAAGATACACAATCTAATTACTTAATAATTATACTATAAGAATATACAATATTAGTCTATTTATAGGTCTCAAAAGTTACTCGTAATTTAATCTTCGCTACAACATAACAGTATTAGACTTAGAAGTTGAATGACACTTCTGTTATAATCCAACAAGGAGTAATAATTCCTTTAAAATTGTAAGTAAACCCTATTGTAAATTATCAACTAGCAAGAAAACTATATTAATCAGGATTTTCCCCGAAACAATTTTCAACGACCTAACAACAAAACAGATTACACCAAATGTTTAGTTGCACAGACTAATAAGTTATGACGAAGTACTGTTCAATGATTAATTCGTGTAAAATAAATGAGAAAAAAATCAGTTAACATACCTTATTCCAACACTATGATGTATTCGACAAAATGATTCAAACATAAGTAAACGAGCATTCTCCATAAATTCATCATAACATCCAGTTAAGAAGAAATCATTTGGTAAAACCTTGAAAGTATTTTTAAAAAATCAGATACATTGTATTGCTTTGTGTAGGAGAAAAAAATAATGTATAGATACTACTAAGAGTAAAAGACAGTTGTTGAACATTACTACTGAAATATAACAGAACATTTGCGTATATCCAGTTTGAGCTACAATTAATTTCAGATGGGTTTTGTGGATATTGCAGTAATTTCAATGGTTAAGATCATGAGTCGGTTGAAGCTAGACCACCATGGAAAATCTGGAAGCACCGGACCGCCGTTTCGTCCTAGTTTAGGACTCCTCGACAGTGCACATCCACGAATCTCGCAGGGAGCGAGGTCGTGGATGCGCACTGCTGAGGAGTCCCACAATGGGACGAAATGGCCGTCCGGTGCTTCCAGGTTTTCCATGGTGGTCTAGCTTCAACTGACTCATGATCTTAACCATTGAAATTACTATAATTAATTGATAATAAAGGGGATATTGATAATATGCGATATCAAACTTTTCAAATTAAATCAGGATAAACAGAGTTTAAGATTAATAATAATTGAAAGCTGTGCATTTTAATAAACTAAGTTACTACTAATACTACTACCAATAAGTACACACATAGAGAGGAATCCAAGAACGTGCTTTTCCATTTAACTACGATGAGTGTAACTGATTTTTACATTAATATTCCAAATAAAACCATGACATCCATATATGTTTTTTAGTTATTTTAATCTAATTGACCATAACTCATTGTATTGAATGAGTGTTTATAGTTTTCAATATCAACACCGCATTTACAAGAACACCTTTAGGCCTTAAAAAAGGAAATAACTCTCTCTTTCTCCTTGAGGATGTTAATTTATAAAACCAGACAATATTTTTTCTAGTTGATAAAAACGATTATGACCCAGTGAAATGTTTTAAAAACAAACATTTTTGGCACCGACACGTTATTAATTAACTTCTTTTGAGTAATTGTATTTTATGCTTAACCTCAAGAGCTCTCTGTTACGGTAGATTCATCTATATGAGAAATATACATACAACTTATCATTAATTGATATACAAACACTGTTCATTAGATTAGACAACCTATTTTTATCAAAAATCACTGGTTTGAGAAGTTACATTATAAAGTAAACATGCACATTTAATATCAAACAAAAAACTGAACTGTTCTATATAACATTCGTACCGACTACCACTGACTAATTACTCAACACTAAATCCAACAGTTTAAAGTTAAATAGACAACGATAATAATGAAAAAAAGACTTACAGTTTCACAAACTCGAAGTTTTTGTTGAGCTCCATCGAAATCGAATTTCACAAATAAACACTCAAAGAATTCAGTAACTGGATCACGATAAGAATAACTTTCCTGTTGAATAAGATATTTTAAATCTCGTATAAGATTCTTTTTCTTTTTATCAGTACTAGTGATTACGCACACAGTAAGGTAACGCAATAAATGTGGCGCCAACGTCTGAATAGCGTTCAAATGTCTATTTATTAAAAAAAGGAAGGTTTTAGTTTTTAAACGAAAAATTGGAATGGCTTTTCGCAATGATTACTGAAAATGAAGTGTAATAAAATGCTAAGATCACTATTGACTGATTCCTGGTAAGTAATTCTAAAAAACTGGCAAATAAATCCTATAGTCTATTACATGCCAAAATCAGACCTTATAGGAATCATGTGCACAGCATGTGTCTACAGTTTTTCATAACTTTATGTTTGTCATAAGAAGTATTATTAATAATGCTGCATAAATACCCATAATTCCAAAGCACAAAAAATAACATAGCTAAATTCAAACATTTGTACTGCATTCAACCATATATATTACAGATTCCCGACCGAAATAAAAAACGACCCATTTATCAACTGTACGTTGTTACATTCAATTTTCAGCACAAGTTTCATCTGAAGAGAAGTGATATTACCCAAAAGTTTAAATTAAGGCATGTAAAGGGGTACTCAAAACCTGAAACCTTGCACAACACGAATCTGTAAGTAAAATATGTATATCAAAAGCGGATCTACTTTTAAAGTGGATTTGACGATACTTAAGAACAAGAGCCATTCCCGTTATGTCATATTCTACTATTATTTACTTTGATTAAAAAAATGGGCTTCTTGCAACTTTACACCTCATTTTTTATATTGGAAATAATCATTGTCATTTCATTTTAATTGTGTGAGGGCTATGATACTGCCCGAGTGCCAAGACCGAAGCAGGTGGTTTCCTTAGGGGGACACACCCCGAGTCTTTGACCTAAAGGTCTGACTCACAAGGCAGTGGAGCAACGTCAGGAGATGCGATCACATGGTAGACGGTGACTAACAATTGGTTCATACGCCATTTGTTCCCGCAGGATACTGGTGCCCATGTGCACCATTGGTTTGGAATCGGGGTTTCCTAACTCCCCTAGGTGGAGTCACCGTCTCCACCAACCCGGTTAAAGCGCCAGACATTCGCTTTTCGTCCTCTCAATTTCGTAAACAACACCCCCGCCACGAGGAGATAGTGAGTAGGACTTCCCTGGCAGAGGCTACATACACGTGGCCATGTGAGAGCATTCCGAGAGACAAGGCGAACTCGCCCCACTCTCTGCCGTACCAGAGCGTTTGGGGGATTGCTGACATTCAGTGGAAACACCATATTAGTAATACAGAGGAGGTTCAGCATCGTCTGTTCGGGTGCAGAGACGATAATTCAATTGATGTCACCATCTTGAAACATTGACTTCGGTGGCTTGGACATGTTCTACGAATGTCGTCTCAGAGAATTCCTCGCCGTATTTTATTTGTCGACGCTCGGACTGGTTGGAAAAAGAGGAGAGCTAGTCAGTGTATGATATGGTGTCGTGATATGAAAGAAAGCTGCACAGGACTGACTTCTGTTGGGGTCCTAGAGATGGTGCAACACAGTGGCCAGATACGTTATCAGATATGGCTCAGAAAAGAAGCCAGTGGCGATCCTGCTGTAACTTTCTTTTACTTTCTTCATAAGAAGTGGTTACAAATCCTTTAACTGAAAGAATTATTTCTGGTTGCACCTTTCCGTTTCCCCCACTATTATTACTACACTACCATACACTAATCTGTGGTCACTATTGTTCTCTTTCTTTTCTTCTCTCTTATACGTATCTTGCATTCTTCTTCTCTTCCCGTTCTCATTGTTAATGTGTGGCGCATAAATATCTGGTGCCCTTTTGTACCAATATTTATGTGTTCAATTAAATAAATAAAATAAAATAACTATATTGGAAAAGTAAAGACTAAACACAGATCTTAGAAAAAAAATTTCAAAGTGACTGTTACCTAACATCAAGGTAGGAAAAATTTTAATACTTATCTAACGGGTTGTTTAAGTATTTGGTCTCTTGAATTATTATATTTCAAAACAATTGAAGTTTCCACAACTATCCACTGCATTAAAAAAAAGATACTGGGTGTCCGAAATAATAAAAAAAAACTGTTACAATCAATAAAACCAACTAGAAACAATCAACTTGAAAATTACGATGTTGTACAGATATATAAAAAGTGAAAATAATTAAAATTCAAGAATTTACGTTGTATTTTGCATAAACCATTCAATTAATTTTTCTTTGCCCTGGGGATGATTGAAAAAAACAAAAAGTGACCAGTGTAACATCCATGTACGCTGTTGTAATTGTATTAAATATGTACGAGATGCAGGCTAGTTGTAGAAATAAGACAAGATGAAATATCAAAGTGAATTTAAGCTATATAAAATTACAAACTTTAAATTAGAGCAAAGAAAAATATAAATCTATATAAGATAATCCACTTGATCGATTTAACAGTACAATGTAAATTCAACAAACCTTTTCAAAGCAGAAGAATTAAAGGAAAAGACCAAGAGGGGGTCTAGCAAATAAGCTCGCCACTGACTATAAAACTGAATTACGAGCCACAAAATAAATTATTGTTAAGTAGCAGGAGCATTAATTTATTCAGAAACAGTAATAAATAAATATTTAGCGAAAATCTATGAATCTGTTATTATATATTCTTCAATGTTTTTATAAGGATTACATCAAGTAACGTGAATAACTCAAGGTACCAGGGTGTTTGTTAAACAATACACCTACATTAGTCAGCCGATGAGAAAACATCTTAATCGCCATACTGTGTTGAATCCATAAAGTTATCATTATTATTAATACTATTACTGTTATTGTCACGTAGTAGTACAAATCAGTACACCATGGTAATACTTAATAACTATTGTTGTAAGCGTATTACAAAGTAAATCGATCACTAGATATCAGTCACAAACAAATACAATGGACTGTTAATTTTCGGAAACCATTGCGAAATATTGAGGAGAAAATTTATCGACAAGCAAAGATGCTACATTAGAGTCGTAATTTAGTGATTTAGCTAAAAGAATGAGCAGGTTAGCAGTCAGGAAGCCCCAAAATAGGACGTAATGCTGGCTGTTGACTTTTAGTTTGAGCTGTAATATTAGGTGCAGTACAATTGGTTGGAAACTTTAGTTGATATGGATTAAAACCAAAAATATAAATAAAAGTAATATATTTGTAATATCCCAATGAGTAGAAAATTGGAAGAAATTCAAAGAATCTTAAAACACCACAGAATTAAAGTGTATTACAAAACAACGAACACACTAGGTAATACTTTAGTTCGCCTGAAAGAAAAAATCCCTTTCATGTCCACACAGAACTGCGTTTACAAATTAGGTTGTATCAATTGTGATGCCTATTATATTGGAGAGTCATCCCGCGAAATCGTGACTAGAGCCAAAGAACATATTAGGTACACAAAGAAACCTCCTAACAATCCCGTAGAATTGAACCAACTTCAAATTAAATCGGCAATAGCAGTTCATGCCATTTTCAACAACCACCAAATCGATTTTAAAAATATCAAAATATTGCAAAAAGGCTTTTCCAACTACAAAGAAAGGAGGGTAGCTGAGGCGTTCCACATAATGCTTAATCCTACTTCTCTCAATAGAAAAGAAGGCCTTACCATACACCCTACTTGGACCATCTATCTTAACCATTCAGTCTGATCGTATTTACAATTTCACACTTTCATATTACAAATTTAAACTCTATCCTTTCTTACCATAAAGGTCACATAAGTTTTCATTCTTAAACAATGTACATATACATACACACACAAATTTACATACATATCACTTATGAATCACCTTGACAGAAATGACATGACATCAACTTGTTCAGACCTGTTTTTTGATTGATCCAATATTATTCTTGCATTGTTCCGTTGTACTATTTAAACTTGGATTAATTTTAATTTGGTTATTTATTCTCTGAAGAAGTGACTTACACTAAGCCACGAAACGTCAGAAAATCCAATTTTCTACTCATTGGGATATTACAAATATATTACTTTTATTTATAACAATCAACCCAATGCTCAATTTATTCGAAATTATCAAATCAAACCTTGGTAATGACACCTATAAAACCAAAAATAGTTCAGATGCATTCATTCTTTATCCTCTCCTAGATTTCGAGTTTCCATATTGCTTCAAGCTTTCATTCTTTTTATTTGAACCTGATATCTCATATTAAACTTTTTGACTAGAACTGATACTACAGTTAATTCAACATAATTTGATTTATTGTGTTAGCTTCGATTAACTGTATTGATATGATATGACAACTTGAGCCAATGCACAACCGTACCAAGTCTTACATCATGACTGACTGTATGATTGAATGGATGATTATTAACACAGTCTGAAAACTCCAATAACGACAATCCAAGACTACAGTCAGTCATCAAAGATTCGACGACCTAACTACTGTTGATCCCAAAGGACTTGCCATAAATCTTTTATGTCACGAAAAGTAGTACTTGAGCGTTCTCGAGAACGGCAGATGCATAAACTTCCAAAATAAGGCCCCTGTAGATTTCGAGTAGGTTTACGATTTCTTAATTGTTACCATACAAAAGTATGGTGTAAGCTTGTAATCCAATGCATATGAATTTAAACAAGATAATTAGATTACTTAGTTTGATGTCCAAGATTAGGTGATTAATCCCAACTTCATAGTGAAGTAAACTAATTATTTCGTTTTATGACTGTCCGATGAAATACATAAAATTAAATATTTACAAAGATTTTGTTTATTTTCTTATACATTACGAACTAATTAACATTAACTCATTTGCAAATAATTTGATTTCGCAGTCAAATTCTTATGAATCAATTTGAAATAATACTTATGACTAGGTATAAATGGAAATTTTTTACTTTCATAACAGACAAAATAATCTCGTATGAAAGCTGTACAAACATTATCATTATTGCCTTGAACAGTCGTCGCAATCATTGACATATAGGTTCTTGATTGATTATGACTGACTACCTTGGATTTTCAATAAAACTGAGTTGATCTTACGACAGTAAGGAAAACATTTTCAGGCTCCAAATTTACTAGCCTTAACCAAGTAGGACGTTAATTACCTCGACAATGTAAAACTCAAAGATTGTCTTAAGTCTCAATTGACTTACTGAGGTTTAGGTAACCAGGCAGTATCAACATTTACGTAACAAATGTGGTTTATTGTGAAACGAACATTTATATAAGACTAGTGAGTGACATTATTTTTTACTAAACATACGAGAGACGCAGCTACCGAGTTTACCAAGCTCTCACCATAACATGATTAGGCCCTAAACATGTGTCCTAACGATGCCTGATGGTGGTATGAACTATTGAGTTGATTTTCGGGGTCATCATGACAGGTGTCTACTCTTATACTTAAAGTTGGTGCTAAATAGAAATAAATGGATGTCTGGGAATATTTACAAGAACACGACCGTAGTCACATGTCCACTGAGCGAAGATGCCGAGAGATTCACCTGAGTATTTTCCAACTTGATTTAGACTAACTACGGAGGGATTATAATAACCGGCAACGAGTACTATGTCTGGGCGGTTACCTCGTTGACGGTCAAAGGTTTCCTGTACAAACCGATCTTTTTATTTACCCGAATTCTAGTCGGTAGGAGTGTATATAGAGACGAAATGGCAATGGAATGTCCCTATTTTCTGAATATTTATTGCCTAATCAACTGTCTACCAGAATCTAATCAACGTGAGTTTACATACAGTAAGGTATCGAGAAGTAAAATTTGCAGATAAACGAGGGTCGGATAGAGCCACTCTTCCATATTGACTGAAGTCAAGTGAAAGATCACACGTGATGCAAGTTTTGGAGACGCAGCATGTACCAGTGGCATAAGATTCTAGAATCCTATCAAAAGAAGCCTGTCACCTGCTTTAACACGACTTTGGAACGTTGAAGGCTCTAACATGCAGTCAGGAGACCAAAAATAACTCTATGTAACTGAGTTGACAGTGCTGTTGTCGACCTAGGAGCACGACTGCAGAGCTCAAGAAACAACTGCTCGAAGTCAGCCGCATAAACCTTTTTGAGTAGTTTTTGTCGTAGTACACCCGTGAAAACTACTTGGTTGGACTTAAAGTAACCAAAGGTTGGAGATGGGTGACGTCGTTCAGAACCACTAGCAATGTAGTACGAAGTCATTTTTGTTTTGTTTTACGTTAGATCTCGAGTTTTAAAATCATCTCATAATTCCTATTCCATGGACTCATTCTTAAATCGTACTGTCTATCTAGTCTTTTCTATTACTGCTGATACTGTTACCAATTCTACTACACTGACACTTGTTCTGACAACTTCGTCACAGAATGCTGGCATAGTATGGCAGCTTGTGTCGATACGCACATGTCATGTTCTAGGTCGCTTTTATTTATTTATTTATCTTAACACAAGGATGTACCAAATACATATGCGCCACACAGTCAGTCAGTCAGTAACAACGTAGAACTTCGTACGTACGTACATCAGTTCAAGTTGCAACACCACACTAGCACAGAGATGCAGTTGTCGATTCAAATCCCGTAGTGGTAGAGGCGGTAAGAGCATAAGCAGTAATCGGAAAGATTAGGGTTTGAAGATATTATTTAAAGAGTATAATCCAGTGAAGTAAAATTGGAAAGAGAAAAAGAGACAAGGATTCAGGTGATTAAAATTTAGGAGAACACAAAGAGTGGATGTACCTGAGCCATTGCAAACGATTTTCAGCTATGTAATTCAGGGTCTCTAAACATCGGTTGCTATCATCTCGCGGTCCCCAACCAGATAGTCTACACCTACCAACATGGCTCAGTCTACTTGTCAGTGACTTCATGGACTTGTGCCATGTTTTGGTCTAGACGCCCCTAGCTTTCTTCCAACCTACTCCTATACCACTGAACATCGCACGTCGAGGCAGTCGGTGGTTGGGCATACGTAACACGTGTCCACACAAATTTCGTTTGGTGTGTGAGGGCTGTGATACTGCCCAGGTGCCCAAATCGAAGCAGGTGGTTTTTTTAGGGGGCCACACCCGGAGCATTCGACCCGAAGGTCTGATCCACAAGGTAGTGGAGCAACGTCAGATGCAGTCCCATGGTAGCCGGTGACCAACAATTGTTTCATACGCTACTTGTTCCTTCAGGATACTGGAGCCCATGTGCACCACTGGTTTGGAATCAGGGTTTTCCAACTCCACTAGATGGACTCTCCATGTCCACTAACCCGGTTAAAGCGCCGGACATTCGCTTTTTGTCCTCTCAATTTCGTAAACAACACCCAGATCATGAGGAGGCAGTGAGTAGAACTTCCCTGGCAGAGGCTATATACGCGTGGCAATGTGAGAGCATTTGGAGAGGGGGAGAGGACTCTCCCCACTCTCGGCCGTACCAGGGTTTTTTAGGGACCTAGGTCGCTTATGGCCAATTGACTGATCAGACCCATACATTCAACGTTTTAACATTGGTGATAGAAATCCACGAGGCCAGGTGAAGTATAATGATATTAGGGTTGACATTTAACCCCTTTCTTTTTTCGCGAGGATGCGACTTCGCTACAAATGCTGGATGTCTAAGGTAAACACATTATCGTCACGACACCCTAAAACGGTCGAACCCTGAGTTTGCTGCTTCCGGTCTTATCATACCCCAACCAACCTGCTTGTTATCGCACGATTAAGAGGAAGAAAATTATCAGCTCACTCAGCTCCATCAAACTACCACAATAAACAAGTCTGATCAACAAGCCAAGGTACTGGCTACGATCAGGACTGAATGATGAATCATTGAAACTAATCTGATATGACAATCTAGAGCCCAAAACCCTTACGGACTTAGATGAATATTCTACAAAACTGGTTTCGAGTACTCATCTTTTTGACGACAAATTCATTTATAACAAACAGTTTAGTATAATAAGACACTATATTATTATCTCATGATGTTGAATTCGCACTGACAATTGCATGTAGAAAGTGTGGTATCGATACCTTAAAAACATACGATGAGGCAAAGGATAATAAGACCAAGTTACTTGTTCCCTCATAATATACAACGCATTTTATAAGCAGGAAATAACATTCTCGTCTACTGAATTCTCGGGTATTGATCTCCTTCCAGGAGGTCCACTTATCGACTTAGAATACGCAGATGACATAGTCCTGTTTGGTGAGGACGCTGATAAAATGCAGAGTCTTTTGGCAGCACTAAGCAGCAATGCCAGAATGTTTGGAATGCGCTTCTCTCCCTCCAAATGCAAGCTTTTGCTTCAGGACTGGTCTGCGTCAACACCTGAACTAAGGATAGGGAGTGAAGTGGTCGAACGCATCGACAACTTCACTTATCTTGGAAGTCTGATCAGCCCTAATGGGCTGGTATCGGACGAAATCTCAGCACGGATTCGAAAAGCTCGCTTGGCTTTTGCCAACTTACGTCACCTTTGGCGAAGGCGAGATATCCGTCTATCAATAAAAGGACGAGTATACTGCGCGGCAGTCCGTTCTGTTTTAATTTACGGCAGCGAAACATGGCCTTTAAGAGTAGAAGACACCCGTAAGCTAATAGTATTTGACCACAGATGCCTTAGAAATATTGCTGGCGTCTGTTGGGATCACCGGGTAATAGTGAGGTTAAACGCAGAGTATTAGGGAATGATGGTAAATCAGTTGATGAGGTTGTTAATCTTCATCGACTGAGATAGTTGGGCCACGTGTTACGTATGCCTGAACACCGATTACCACGTGCAATGCTAACGGGTGTTAGAGATAGTTGGAAGAGAATTAGGGGCGGCCAAACCAAAACGTGGCATCAGTGCTTGAAGACACTAACTTCTAGTCTGAGCCATGTTGGTAGATGCAGACTACTTGGTTGGGGTCCGCGTGACTTTCGTAACCGATGGTTGGAGACTCTTGGTGACATGGTTCAGAATCGATCACAACGGCGTAGGTGTGTACACTCCCTGTCTTCCCTCAAACTAAGAGATTAAAATCACTTCATATCTTTCTTTCTACTAACTAATTCTTTCTTCCTGTACTGTATCCTTATATGCAATCTTTCTCCTATATATTACTACCTTTGACCTAACCACTCCTATGAATCCGGTGTTCATCTTGCTGTGCTAATGCGGTATGGCAACCTGGACCGATGGATATATGTGCCGGGTCCTATGTTGTAGCTGACTGACTGATTTTATAAGCAAAAGTTAGAAAGGGTGTTTTTGAACATAATGCAAAAAAGGCTGACGATACTTACTCTATCTTCATTTTGACAATCTATAGCATCCTTCAACTTTTCTAAATCTTCCAATGCTTCATCCCAGTTTTGGACTAAAATCTCACTGGCTAGGCGGCCCCAACTGGCATCCAAATGTCTTTGTGTCCCAGGGGTTACAAGCTGGCGGACTATTTTTAAATATTCAGATGATAAGTTGTAATTTCCGGCATCATAAAATACCTATAAATAGAAGGATCAGCAAATCTAAAATTTATTTTGGGTATAGTGGGTGAAGGAAAAATTCACCTATTTCTTTTGCACAATGAAGACATTATATCATGTAGAACTATAGTAATCAACTTACGCGTGCAGCATCAAACATATCGTTAAGCATCTCTGTCTTGAAGTTGTATTTAGTTTCCAAACTAGTCAACAGATCTTTGGCGTTTTTACATTGGGCAACTTCTTTCATTGTTTCTTGACTAAATATTACCTTCACTGGTTTTAACTTAACCTCCGTTTCTTGAATACTCTCTAAGACTTTTTCTCTCTTGTCAAGTAATCCTAGCAAATAAGAAGAGTAATCTGGTCAAACCTTTTGGAGGCTCTGTTTCGTATATACTTCTATAAGTATCTGCGGCATAATCAACCATAGAAGTCCCCAAGAGAACTTCCCATTTGGTCTTCAGAATGCTCTTTTCATCATATATCTAGCAATAAAAGATTCTGAATGACTTACATTTTTGACACTTATGTATTCCAGCAGTGGTAAAGTTAAGTGTTTATCTAGAAAACTACTTATCTTCTTTGTTAAGTCGAATTCAGACATTATGCTGATGGTGGCGGCAATGTTGTGTTAGGCGCTCTTCAAAATGGTTCAAATGGTTCAAATGGTTGTGGACGGAATAGAAGAAGCTTTCGCTTAACAGGCTTCCGTGTCTAGTAGCAGGGGATCACCAAATCCTCCAGGCAGGAACCTAGGTATGTTAACAATAAAAGAGGAAAAGAAATTGGTAAATCATAGTGCGATGCTGTCCTTGGTCCTTAAGAATAGGTCAAGTTGCCTCTTGAAGGACTCCTGAGAAGTCGCTTGGACTAGCTCGGCCGGCAGCGAGTTCCAGCTTTTGACAACTCTTAAGGAGTAGAAGTTGTGTCTACATTCCGTCTTGCTATGTTGTGTTTCCAGTTTCTGGGTGTTACCCCTTAGGTTATTGTTCGAACTAAGCTTAAGTAGGTGTTTAAGAGGATGTCCAGAAGTGTTAAGAATACTATAAGCCATTAATAAATCACCTCTAAGACGCCTATATTCTAGTGGGTAAAGGTCTAGTGAACAGAGGCGTTCTTCGTAAGGCTTAGATTTGAGTCCTCGAACTGATTTCGTGGCTCGCCGTTGGATACGCTCCAAAGTGACCTTATCCTTTTGGAGTGAGGGGGGGAGTACTATGTTTCCGTACTCTAAATGAAGACGGATGAAACTATTGAAGATTGTGTGGAAAGTTCTTCCGTCAAACTGACCAAAAATGCGCCTCAACGTTACCAGTGCAAGGTTTGCTCGGAAGGCATTTTTGTCACAATTAGCGTAAGACTTTAAGTCATGGGGCACCAGGACTCCTAAATCTTTTTCGACTTGGGATACTACTAGAGAGGAGTTTTCTAAGTTGTAACTGTAGTTTGCGACATGTCGCAGATGGACTACTTTACACTTAGAAGTGTTAAAGGTAAGTCCGTTATCGTCTGCCCAACTTTGAAGTCGAGTCAGATCCTCTTGAAGTGCCTGTATATCGTCTTGGTTGCGTATCTCTCTCCAAAGCTTCACGTCGTCGGCAAAAAGTAATAAGTCTGACGTTACCTGTTGAGGAAGATCATTTATGTAGATCAAGAAGAGAAGAGCCCCTAGTACTGAGCCCTGGGGGACCCCACTAGGACATTCCATAGCTTGAGATAAAGTGAAATTAACCCTAACCTTAAAGTGTCGATTTTTTAGGTATGAAGTAAGCCAGTCGATTAGACGTGGTTTGATACCTAGTCGTTTGAGCTTGTTGATAAGACACAAGTGGTTAACCTTATCAAAAGCTTTTGAGAAATCAAGGTAAATGACATCAACCTTTCCCTTGCGATCGAGGATGCTTGTCCATCTGTCCACCGCAGTCAGCAGGTTGGTTATACAAGAGTAACCCTTCCTGAAACCATGCTGTTGGGGTGAGAAGAAATTTAAGGACAGTAGGTAGTCATTTAAACCGTCGCATATCAGGGACTCCATGAGTTTTGAAGGTAACGACAGAAGAGCTACCGCCCGGTAACTTGAAGGTTCATTGCGTCGACCACCTTTGAAAATTGGTGTGATGTGAGCCAACTTCCAATTTTCCGGTAGTTTGCCTCGGCTAAGCGAGTGTGAAAACATCACGCTAAGCGGCGTTGCCAGGATTGAGGCTGCCTCCCTCAGTATGGCAGGATGAACCATATCCGGGCCAGGAGTAGTGTCAAGTCTTAAGTGCTGCAGTTTCCGGAACACCAAGTCAGCGCTTAGGTCCACTTCAGAAAGTCCTGTGGAATTGCAGATGAAACTGTCATGAGTAAAGTTGATATCAGCCGGTTGGTACAAATGGTTGTGGACGGAATAGAAGAAGCTTTCGCTTAACGGGCTTCCGTGTCTAGTAGCAGGGGATCACGACTAACTCCAGGCAGGAACCTAGGTATGTTAAAGATAAAAGAGAAAAAACAAAGTGGTAAATCATGATACTATCTTTAGACCTTAAGTATAGATCAAGTTGCCTCTTAAAGGACTCCTGGGAATTCGCTTGGACTAGTTCAGTTGGCAACGAATTCCAGTATTTGACAACTCTTAAGGAGTAGAAGTTGTGTCTACAGTCCGTTCCGCTATGTTGTATCTCCAATTTCTGGGTGTTACCCCTTAGGTTGGTATTAGGACTAAGCTTAAGTAGGTGTTTATGAGGATGCCCAGAAGTGTTAAGGATACTGTAAGCCATTAGGTCACCTCTAAGACGCCTATACTTTAATGGGTAAACGTTAAGTGATTGGAGGCGCTCTTCATAAAGCAATATGCATGTGACGCTTCCACCTTGACGTTAAGAAACAATTTCGGATCCTCAATAACATATATTGAACTATACAGAAGAACGTAGCTTGGATCGTACCTTCATGACTAAAAACGCCATTATATTGTTCAGAAACAGTTACCAGGAGACTAAAAGCCAATATGGGATTGAAAGGACTTGTCGGTGACCTTCGCCCAATCAGTAGGCATGCTCAGGAGTGTCAGTATCTTAGTAAAATATAAACTAGTTACTTCGATCCAGTACGATAGATGAGACGTCTTACAAGTGTTCTAGAAAATCCAAAACATGCCTTCATTTGTTCTGTACACTCATCGCCACGGGTTATATATCCATGCGAAATTCCCTAGACTTGTTGTCGTGTGAAGAGATCAATCTCTATTTATATGTGCGTGAACCCACTCAATAGTAAATAACAATTCGAAAATGTCGAGGTGCCCTAAGTCGAGCAGATTGGAAATAAACTTGGAGAGAAAATAGCGCTTCGGTTGGCTTAAAACTTTTGCAAATGATAGAATGTTTCTGTGTGCTGACAAAGAACTATTAACACATACGTCTAGGAGCATATAGATAATCCGCAATAAGATACCCATGACGTCCGTGTGTCATAGACTGAGAAACTTCCCGAACGTTGTGCACTTCGTGGTCTAAGGGACTACTAAACATAGCCTTCCAGTTCATAAACCTCATACTGGGACTAAAAATGCTATCAGGATGATATTTGGGATGAGTGACGTCTCAGACCTTCGAGATTCTTCCGGATCTTTATCATCATTTTGGGATCTCAGCATCTTGTTCGTTGCAAAAGAAGCCGAAGAGATTCTGGATCGAGTCCCTGCCATATAGATTTCATTTCCTCACACATATTGTCTATACAAATTAAATAAGTAATTAATTCAGGCTGTCGGATATATATGGGACTTATAATTAGTATCGGTATTAGACTGAAGTGACTTACTTTTATCACGAGAACACGATTGGTTTAATGAAAACAATTATTATTATAACCAATAGTACCAGTGACTGTTTTAATGTGCTCTTTGTTTAACTGTGCTAAAAAATCCATTATACTTAATTCCATTGTGACCTCGCGCGAATCCGGTCTCGGTCAGTAACCACACTTGTACTCTTTTGGCACGATCTCGGTATCCTTTCGACACCACGAGATCGCCAACAAATATATCTCGACTTGGTCCATTAACTGCCTTCTGATATTTGGCTTCCGAGGAATTTTATGGATATCCTGGCACGCGTTCCTTTGTAGTGGTGTTCATAGTCAATCGTGACTCGACTCCACGCTACAAGTCAGTTTGCTCTTGCTACTATATTAAAACCCTAACATTAGATATTTTAATTGCAGTAGTGTTACTGACTTGTCTAAATCCTCTTATGTCACACCATTTTCTCATCCTGAATCGCACTTTGATGGAATTCGGTGGCATTGATCGCAAGGACCTATCAAAACTCATTCAGACCGATGGTAGAATAATACCTCCGGCATAAAGAGGATAGATTCTAGGTGACCGCTCATGAACGGTCAAAACGCAAATTTTCCACAAGTTTGTGGAGTTATGTTTAGTACTACTGTAATGGTAGGCCTAATTCCAAAATCTTAGGTTTTTCATGATGTGAAAACCTAGTCTATAAGTTTTTACATGGAAGTCACATTATTGTCTATCCTGACTCGTCGTATCTCAAGAATCAGCTACATAACGTCTGATACTTCTTAAGAACACACTTGACCTGGGTAAAAAGTAATATATTTAATGCAACATTCAGAACGTTTTACATAGTGTGACCATTTCTGCATGGTCGAACCATGCCATCTTGAATGAATCTTCCACGTCCACTTTCATTGACCTCCTCCAAGTGTGGCATATTGGATGTCAATATTTTCAGTGGTTATATCTTCGGCTTCGAGCATCGTGTGGTTAGTTATCATTATCAATACAAGCTCACCAGCGTCTAGCTCACTTTTCTTTATTCATCACTAAGTATCCGTTGTTATTACACCGTTGCTAAATCACTCTCTCACTGGGATCCAGGCCATGCTGATTCGATGCTAAACTAGTTGGTGTCATCTAGTGCCGGTGGTCTCCAAGTTCGTCCGGGTATTGACTGGCTGACAGTTAAGCGAAAACGGGGGTGCCAACAACCGATTGTGAAATTCGTGATTATGTTCAATATTTTAACATTCATTCTCAACACGCTTTACTTGAAAATTTAAGTTCAGAAGCACCGACATCTGAAGAAATAGGAATTATTTTGGCGGGGGATGATTTCGTTTGGATATGTTTAATCTAAGCGCATTAATATGTATTGTAGTGATTGGTGGTTAACAATTTAACATATGAAAAACACAAAAAATTCATGTCTGTATTATTAATATTCAGATAGCAAAACAATCCATAACCTATATAGATAGATAGGTAATAGCACCCATTTTGGTTTGAAACAGAGAGTTGGTTTATATTACTGACGTTATTCCAACCGTCCTTATGAACTTGAAGTCATGTTTGTAGTATTAGCCTTTTAATGCTTGAAGTCACCCCTCACTTTATGTATGAAGAAGCCAGACTGGTAGTTGTAATAGGTTTTATTTTAGGCAACTCCACGTCATAAAGATTACGTACATGGTCTTCTAACTTCTGCTTACAAACAGGCACCTTAGGTACTATGCTCTTCTCTGATATTTCAAGCTTTTGCTTCCCATCTAATGACAAATAGAGTCACTATCTGAGTCTGAACCACGACA